TGGGGTTAAATATCGGTGGGGTGGCCGATGTCCGATATTCAGTTTTAAGGCCGATACCGATAGGGGGCCGATTATATCGTGCATCCCTAATTAATTTGGGTGAATTGTTTTAATAAATAGGCTCTGAAGGGTAGAACCAGCATGCATCTGGGGGGGCTGCTGTGCAGGAGAAACATGGAGGAAATGTTTGTCCTTTTTTGTTTGCTTACCTGAGGAGAAATAAAATGAGAAAAATGAAGGAGTTTAGCTAAAAAAAATTTTTTCTTTTGCCTGCGTAAATTATGCATCTGCAGCCTTTCTGGACCTTTATTCTGTTTTATCAAAGTTGGGCCACGACAGCCGGAAACATCTTTGTTATTTATCAAAAACAGTATTTCCTTCCTTCTTATTCCAGTTTTTATTAACCCATCATAGAAAATCCCTGATCAATAATCCAGGGGGTGTGAATACTAATTAAACCCCCAGAGGTGTTGCCACATTGGCCTTAAACAGGATGTGAGGCGGAGCAGACTGTGTATCTGACCTGCTGCAGGGGGGCGGAGCCAAGCGGCTGCACCTCAGCAGGGAAGTCGCCCTTCAACTGCAGGTCGGAGTGCTGTAGTTCTTCACTCAGCTGTTGGTAAACGTCCACGGCTTTATCTGAGATGGAGGGAAACACCAGCCGGTCCATCACAGCCGCCTTCTGAACAGACAGACACTGCAGGTCAGAATGGAAGCTGCTTTGATTGATCAGTGAGAGCAGAGATTTGAGTCAGAGTCAATCTGATGTCTGTAAACAGAGCAACCATTTGCAAAACTGGTGTAAACCTCTTCCTCCATAACCCCGCCCCCTTAAGTCATCTTAGTGATGTCATACTTTTGCCGCCACATCGTCCTGCCAGTATCTGGCCACACGGTAGCGCCGCCCCTCCTCGGCCGCGGCGCTCTGCAGCTCCAACACGCACCACCTGCTCCCGTTATCCTGCAGACACACCGGCTTCAGTTTGAGCCGCAGCATCAGGACCAAAACTAACTGAACAAACAGATAAAACTGCTTCACCTGTCCGAAAAACGAGTACAGCGCCACCTGGAAATCATCAGGGAACGCCGGGACATCAGAGTCCGATTCATGGAAAATTCTGGGTAATTAACAGAATGAGGCGAGGGTTAAATTTAGCTAGAATTTCTGTTTTCAGAATGATTTTATGTTCTATGGTTGTTTTATAAACTAGGAAGTTATTGTGGCTCAGTGATGAAGATCAGACAAAGATCAAAGAAAAACCATCATGATGTGCTGAAGATGATGATGATGATGAAGATGATGATGGTCCCACCTGAGCTTCTCATCCTTTCTTTCCTTGGTTTGTTGTGCTGCTGGATGAAGAAACATTATTAGACACAGAAGAAACATTTCACAACTTTTTAGAACATTTTTATCAAAGAAATAGATTCCTAAACATTCTATGGTGACCCAAAGTTCTACTACTTTATTCCTCTCCCCAGTTTTTTATGAGCCCTTCTTTTCCCTGCCTTTATAGGCGCGTCCCTAAACTCCAGCGTGTCCTGTGCCTCCCACCAGGCCTCCTCCTGATAGGACACGCCTGGAACACCTCCCACCAGGAGGCAACCAGGCACTGGGAAAAATCGAAATCTAGATCAGTCATTTTTTCTGATAATAAGTGCATTTGTTCTTGGATTAAGGAGGTAAAAGAGACATTTTCCCAATGGAACAAAACAATTTACACTTAAAATAAGAAAACTCAATCGTATTGTCTAATTTCAAGTGCATATTATCTAATTATCTTATTCTAAGATTAAAAATACTCATTCCATTGGCAAATTATCTTATTTACCTGCTCAAATTAAGGGTAAATACACTTAATTTAAGAAATTTTTACTCATTTCTAGATCGTCTTCCCAGTGAGGCATCTTGAATAGACGCCACCTCCGCTGGCTCCTTTCGAAGTGGAGGAGCAATGGCTCTACTCCGAGCTCCTCCAGCTAACTGAGCGTAGCGACGTGGAACGCCACATCTGGAATCGCTTCATAAAACGATGCAGGAGCATCTGGGTGGAGATGCTTTTTCTA